ATTCATATAACATGGAATTTCACTTGATGTATAAGTATAAGTTATAACAATCTATAACAAAAACAGAAAAACTTACTGGAAAACTGTCGCACGGAGCGGTTGAATGCAAACAGTCCGGAGCGACACAGCTTGTTCATGGCGGCCATGATGATGTACCTAAGAGTGAGGTGTGACATTAGAAAGAAAACATTTCTTTAAAATTTTAAAACATGAAAAAATTGCTGGTCTCTGGCCTCTGGACAATCCCATATGACATGATGATAGGTGTAGGTTAACAGACAAAGGAAGAAATACTTCTTATATGGAACTAAATAGTTTGTTCTCCTCGGACTGTGAATCTATTTATATCTTTGGATAATATTTTTATTTTAATAGAATAATAGTCTGTCCATCAATTCAATGTATGACTTTGACCAATGCATCCACAGAGGAGAACATTTCTAAAAGCAAAATAGCAGAAATAAAGAAAGGCATGCAGGCATGTCATCATGTATACTATTATGTACTCCATTTCGAAACAAAATTATTCTTTTAAAAAATCTATTCTGTAGGCTTTCAACAAAACTGTACTCTTGGTCATTGCCTGAAATTAGAGAAATGGCCCTGAATAAACTTTTCACATCAAGATATAATTCTTTCTCTACCAGACTAGTTTCCTCACTGTCACCACCATTGCCATTGGGCACTCATTTTTTTCCTTTCTACTGTAATAAAAAAAAGAAAGCAATTTCTATCTTTTACTATACTACTTGTATACCTTGTAGCCTTCTATCAATATCACATTTCAAATTGAAAGTAAAAAAACTTCCTGTTTTAAGCTGTTCAAAGACAAAATTTAAAGCAATATAAATGTAAGTGTTACGACATGGCGGAATCAAGTGCTCATAAATTTGTGGGTATAGGGAGTTATTGGTATCTTAAAGTTTGTTCATTATTGTCTTGATTGTGATAAAAATATTCCCCATAATTAAGAAAAGAATTCGAGATGTTTGTAATTGAAGGAGGTGGGGGCCGCCTGATTTCAGAGGTAAAATTAGCGAGAAAATGGCCACAAAAATCTGGTGTCTTACACAGCTACAAAGAACCTTGGACACAAATACGCTACTTTTTTGGTGCCTTTTATCAACTTTTTTCATTGAAACTTTTACAGAAATGTATTTCTCTTAAATAGTAAGTAATGAATCAAACAACAAAACAAAAATGGAACAAAAATAGCAAAAGCGGAGGGGAAAATGCCGACCCGGTAATGCTGATTATAATGAATCCTATTTCAAGCCGCCGTCTGAACCGAAAGTAGCCACATTGTTGTTGTTGTTGATACTGTCGTTGTAGTTGTTTTCGCTATGGTGGTGGGGGGGGGGGTTCTTTTGTTACTGCTTTTGTGCACGGGTGACAATAAAACGAAATAGACCAAGTGCTATGATAAAACAAACGCTCCATTGTTACTTTGTCACAGACAATGGACAGTGACCACTAATCTCACTTACGATTTGTGAAAGAGTTCTGGGCAGGGCTTATGGGTCATGAGGGATCACACGCTCACCTCACCAGCAGCTGAAAATTTGTAACCTATTGGTGAACAGTGGGAGGAGCCTACACAACATGATCGGTTGGACGGACTACCTAACAATAATGACAGATGATTGGATTATGATGGCTCGGCCACAACGCCAGGGGCCAATGCACAATTTATAATGACAAAATGTAATGGAGTCACTAAGGTGGCCGTCTAAGACAAGTGTTTTATTGTTTGGTGTGATAGGGGTTGTGTGTTAAAATATGGTGGCCGCGTTGGACAGGTGCCCGTTTTACCAGTTAAATTATATAGAAAAAACGGAAGGGGGGAATGGAAAGCGGCCGTTTGTACAGGTGGCCGTCAGGCAGGTTCGTACATGGTCAATTGCCAAACGGTGTCGCCAAAAAGTGGACATGGCCTTTCACAGGAAATTGACTAGGTCCAGGTCCAGCCTATCCATTGTTTCGTGTGCAGACTGCATATGGTGCAGCGAGGCTTTGAACTTTCAGTCCAAGAACGAGTTTTAGAGAGTGGAGTGAAAGAAAGAGAGAGAGAGAGAGAGAGAGAGAGAGAGAGAGAGAGAGAGATAGATGGGGGAGAAACAGAGAGAAAGAAAGAGAGGCAG